TTTGGCGGGGTTTCATTGAGGGTGTGAGGGTAAATGATATGACCATGTTAGGGTCAGACATATTCTGAATGGTAAATTGTTCATCACTGACATAGTAAGATAACCCACCAACATCTTGATGTCCTCTTTATCGGATGTCTGGATCTGTCAGCTATCGGTGTAACGTCAGTAGTCCGGTCTAATGATGGGCAATACCGTTGAGCGTTTGAATCCCAGACAAAAATTACTTCCGCAATGACGATAACTGGAACTGTCGCATTTCGCGTTTACAGTAATAGAGATTCACAGTATTTACACTGCACACCGTTGTAACATGAAACGCTCAAGACGATTCGTCTAAAAATAGCACTAGATATCAGTTTTTGCGATAATCATTTAGTCGTTCAAAATAAACTTAATGAAGTTTTCTCTTAATTCAAAGCTGGTATTGCTGTCTTTTTGCAAGGAAATCAACGACTGGAAAACCATTACCGTCTCCTTTGTCATATAACCACAGGCCAGGAAGAATTGGAAACAGCTTGTCTGAATCACCACGGTGCATTTCACCATGGGGGAAAATTATGCTACTTTATGGTCTGAAGTTGCAATAGAGGGTTATTTGAACCCTGGAACTCTTACCTTTCATCTCGCAGTAATTCTTTCTTACCCTGGATATTCTGGGTGTTTTGGAAACTTGACCATTGTTGCTGTGAGGTCTCTGTCTTTTTTGCTGGAAATTTGTACTTTTTATGCTATCATTGAAAGTGCACTACCATTCCTTTTCGTACGGCCCCTGTATCACATTAGTGACTACATGTATTCATACCAAAACGTAGTATTTTGAAATACAATTGTTAATTAAACTAATGTCCAAAAGAAAGTGGGCAATGGCACACTAAAACAATGAAATTGTTTCACCTAAACGTATAACCACGCCAACTCCAATCCACGTTATTTGAGTGTTTAGAAACTGCATATGCACACACGGTCGGCCTAAAAACGGTTCAGTTCACATGTGAGACATGCAGTAATAAGAAAAACTACAAATGAATTGCCAACGTTAACACATGAACGGCCATAGGAATGCTGCAAATAGGGGCACCACAGAACCATGGTGCAAGAACAGCGATTCAGAACAACAGGCCTGACAACAGACAAGCCAAGAACAGGCAGACAAAGGGTGGCCACGCCCCCTGAAGATCGCTACCTTCAATGATTGATTCTTGCTTTTGACGTCATCGATGCCGAATGTGTTGGGTCGTGTGGTCAGCAGACAGACAGTAACAGGACGACGAGGGACAGCCAGTCCTACAGACCCTACAGACCCTACAGACCGTAGAGAGACCCGCTGTTGACCAATCAACATCGTCGTCGAAGACTGAGATGGGCGAGAACGGTGAGCCGTTGGCTATGTCATAATTAGCAGCACGTACTCTTCCCGGACGAGAGCATGTTCCATTCTGGTGATAGACAAAGAGGAGAACGTATTGCCCTTGCAAGAGGTCATACTCTTTTGGGGATAGGAGAGCCATGGGGATGCATTTGTGGTGACGAGATGCCGCCATTGGTCATCGTTGACGGTGTCCCGAATAGCATACCCTACATAGATGAGGTCCTACGCCCTGTCGTGCTTCCATCATGTCACAACACGACAATGTGTTAAACCTTCCTTATTTACGGGGGCGGAGGGGTAGCCTAGTGGTTAAAGCGTTGGCTCGTCACGCCGAAGACCCGGGTTCTAATCCCCACATGGGTACAATGTGTGAAGCCCATTTCTGGTGTCCCCCCGTAATGATGTTGCTGGAATATTTCTAAAAGCGGCGTAAAACAAAACTCAGTCAGTCAGTCAGTCAGTCCTTATTTACGTCAACAACGTTCATGTGTTACCCTGGCCAGCTCGCTCCCCAGACCTTAATCCCATAGAGTACTTTTGGGATATCATGGACACACTAATTCGACGGTGACAACAGCCTCCCTACACCCTGGATTAACTCACTACGGCCCTTCATGAAGAATTGTGGAGCTTCCCACGTGACGTCATCAGGCGACTGGCGAATTCATTGCGTAAAAGAGTGTTTGACTGCATTGCATTACCCCATCTGTGGTCATGCTGTGCTGAATTGACCCTTGGACATGTATTGACAAAATGCTCTTTGTACCTCACATAAACATTACAGACATATTTATTTCATTGTTCTTTGTCTTGTTATGAATATTTGCACAAGGTTTTAGCACATATTACACGAGCATATCATACGGCTAATACGAAACGAATGTGAAATTGTGTATTGCCCGAGCGAGAGCGACTTGCGTATCAGTCGTATGACACGCTTGCTCGAGTGCAATAATTTCGTTATTATCCATTATATTCATGTACATTTGTGCAGTAAAACACAGTAAGCAAGTGTGACGTCGCTCTTCATTGACGTCACATTCAATTGTTTAATGACGTCACAGACGGCGAAACACAGAAACAATGGTTGCTAGGTAAGAGTGATATGTGCATGTATGACACTGGTTATGTCTCACCATATGGGTGAGTTTACAGTACTGTTTATGTTCATCAATTATATTTTGTTGTTTTTTCGCTATCGAGCTTCAAATCAGCTGCCATGTTTCTTTTGGACGTTAGCTTATATCATATTGCTTTGTTGCTTTTCGGTTTAAGCAAAGTTCTTTTACGGTTACCAAGTTCTTAGTTCTGTTGGCTACTGTATAGGTTCAACTTGGGAATCAACATGTAACATAGTAAATCTTACAAACCTAATTTCCATATACCTAACACGCTATGTATCAGTATACCAAATACGGAATTATGCCAGTACAGCTTTATACTTCCATGTAAGACACCTGGGGTGTTTTCACGGGTCTTCAGGGGGTAAGACCCCAGCTGTTGAGTTGCTTTGAATTTTGAAGAAAATGGGTTTACTTTAGATACCAGAACTGCTTCACAACCATTAAAAGCTCAAATTCTAAGCTAGAAAACATAAAGACAGCCAGTGGCGGTGTGTGGTCCTGTGGGTAGAGCTCAGGTCACAATCAGTTGAAGTAAAGCAACGTTGGTCGCGGACAGTCCTCGGATGGGTGACCGTATTTGACAGCTTGACTCCTGAAAGTTTCTAGGACTTCAGTCCTGCCCCACAACGAAGCATATGTGACGCATACGGTCTCACCTTTGGCAAGTGGGTTTGTTCAAAACTGCCTCTGTCCACCCAGCAGTAAAACTGGGTACCTGGTATGATACGATGGTAGTCTGAATTTGAACCTTGAGCGCCTGACAGGCGACCGGTTGTATTCTCCACAGGGAGTGTTCTGTACTCGTTGAAAAGGGGTACAATGTCTGCGGTTTGAGCATGCAATGTGCATGGATAAACGCGCAATATAAATGGACTATTATTATTATATTATAAGTTTGTCCTTGTCAGTCATGTGACTGGACCTCAGATCTTCACGTGTGATCGGAGACATCTTTGATATAGATCACGGGATTCAACACAGAGCAAAAATATATTTGAGAAACAATGACATAGTCTCGCCAGTATATCGGTGGCAGTTCTAGATCATGATCTCTTCGAGACATCAAAAAAGTGTTAACACTGGTGATCACTGCCTAGTTTGAAAGGCGTTTGTTGATTTGATTTGACAGTTTCAAATATGTCCTATATCTATGAAGATTTCACCATAGGAATTCAATATGGATTTATAGTAAGGGTTCACATCGAATACATTATTCCTAGGTATAAACTGTCTGTTTTGGTGTTGATATTTAGTAATGGATTCAGGTTTGTGAGGTTGTCAAGTCATATATGGATTAATCTTCGATGTCTCAAAGTTTGTGTTGTTATTGTCAATCTGTGACATGTTAATGTAATGTGAATCATTTGTTTAATTTTTCCTGGAGTTTACCTGTAAAAGTATTACAGAAAGACCATTCCCATAGTTACAAGACCTAACTGATAAAACAGTGCCAGCCCTTGTATCGTGAGTAAACAAGAAAGGTCGATTTTGATATCTATAAACTATACACAGAAAAACATACCAATTGAATAAAATAAAAATAAAATCGAAATGTGGTTCTGGTACTTTAACCCCCGGCGGGGGTTGGGGAAGGGAAATCATGATTACAGGATCGTGTTTTTAATCCGCCATCGAACCGTTCTCGCCCTGTATATTCCAGCTGTATGAGACTGTAGTAGTCTCTGTAGCACATAGTACAGCGAGCTTAGGTGCCGGGATCGAGCCCACCTGTGACCAGGTGTAAAAGAAAACCTTGAAGTCAACTTTGTGTGCTGATTTGTGCAGTGTTGTCACAAGCCCTAGTGTACAGTACACAACCCTGTGCACACAAAAAAAACCGTTGGTAAATGACCAGATAGTGGCCACATGAATACGTGCACACGCCTAGTTGCGGGTACAGCAACGTGCAGTAAACTTGGACAAAGTACTGTGACTATGTGTCCCAGTCCACCCTGCGGTGAATGGGTACCTCGTAAGGATGGGAAGGCCACATTAACTTGGTGCGTCTAATGGCTGCAAGAATTGTGAGGTCCCCAGGGAGTTGAGATTAAAAATGCGGTGTGCTGTTGAGATTGTCATCCAATGATCGAGGGAAACAGTGCGCCTTTGAGCAGCTGAGCTGGATATTAGCGCTATACAAATATTAGTATGTATGCAGTGCACAGCTGAAGCACGTGGTGGATGCAGGCCAGCACCAATTGTGGATTAAGCACGTGGGATGGGGACTATTAAAGGATACCTCGAAACAGACTAAGAGTATATAAAAACGTCACACCAGTCACCATTATCATACAACCTGCGCCGAACACACATTCCATTGTTCGATGTGACAACATAACACATGATATGCATGTTTATTAGAAGCCCATTGAAAACCATTAATACCAGTGTTCGCCTAGATGGGTCCAATGGCAGCTGTCTTGCACCACATTAAGCGGCCATTAAACGCATATGGAATACACTTCCATGTTGCTCCTCATAAATGAAATGAAAAATTAATGTAATTTTAATTCAAATTGTTTATTGAATAAGGCATTGGATAAATAATGCCATGAAAATTGTTTACAGCATTTGTTCAGATGACGAATGTAGCTCAGAACACCCTTGAGCAATAGCTGCATGACGTCCTTTTAAGTGTTCGATTGTGCGTCTGTAGTTGTCAAAAGGACGTGCTGCAGCATTAACGGAATACTGAAACTGAAACCTGAAGGCGTCGCGCTTGTTATCCAGTTTTCCACGGAGTGTCTGACAGGGCTGACATAGTTTCACTGGTCTCATATTTGGGGCAGCAGAGAAAATCATTTGACAACATCATGAACATCACTCCGCAAACTGATATATTGTCATGCATCAATACACGTCAACTCGCATCTCCATTTCTGATGAGTAACACAGTGAAACAATATAATCCATAAAATATCTAGTATGTATAAAACAACGTTGTAGCCGAGACATGTCATACGCTCGTCTCCTAAGTGTTATCACTGCAATCTGTGTGAAGAAACAATGTTAAAATGGCTTCTTTGGGTGGCATTTTTTAGAAACTGGAGAGTCAGATAAGGACAAACTTTATGGATAAACAACTTCTTTATTGAGGTGATGCGACATTTCGACACAGATTCTGTCATCCATACCTACCTCATAACGATACAAGAAACTTCTCATCATCTGAATACACAAGTTGTTCATCCATAATGTTTGTCTTTATCTAACTTATAGGTTATAAGACCGCCTCCGTGGTGTAGTGGTTAGAGTGTCCGCCCGGAGAGCGGAAGTTCGCGGGTTCGATCCCCGACCGCGTCATACCAAAAGACATGAAAATATGGTACTTGTTGGTCCCTGCCTGGCGCTCGGCATTAATGGGTACAACAAGGACTGGTCGGCTCGGAGTCAGAATAATGTGTCTGAGTGGGGTATTCATGCTTCACTGTGGCATGGCATCTCAGTGGGCTAGCACTATAAAACCAGCTTCAGTCTGGGCTAGTACAAGCAACCGCACATACAAATACACACGCATGCACGTCGTCATATTAGCGAAATATTCTCAAGCACGACGTTAAACCCAATTTCACCTCACCTTACCTACATGTTAAAATGTTTAAAATGAATAAGTTGGCGGTAAAACCTATCTGACGACACTCCATACATCGCCATGGAACTATCTTAGGGACTATAATGTTAAATATATGGATTAATTGTTTTACATGGATGTAAGTTGTCTGTTCTTTATATAAATGTTGTAAATGAAAGGTAGATATTATGTAGTGTAATAGAGCAGGCAACGTAGAATTAAGAGCTTAGTGCATGTGTAGAATAGACATAATATATTAATGTATGTATTTGCCGGGGAAACTTAGCTTGATGGAATCAGGGTAGGCGGCTAGGTATATCTAGTGAGGTCAGAGCGAAGTACGCCAGTTCGTCTTTGCCCTGAGAATAATTGACAAAACATACATCCCCTGTGCTGTACTTCCAACGGTACGATAGAACTTAGCCCCACTGAGGGATACAACAATCTTTGAAAACAGATCGTCATAGTTTAACAACACCAAAATAACTGTACATTGAATTGCTGTGAACAGAATCTGTGTCAGACACGTGGACAGCCAGCTGGTCATGTGACCGGAAATTCAAGATGGCTGACTGAAAGCTTGACTTTTGGGTGGTGAATTGTGGGTAAGAATCTTTGCTGACCAAAACGTTAACTTCTCCCAATTTGGGCTGCTTCGGGTGGTAACGTGTGATCCTGTGGATGAAATCCTTGCCTCCACGAGTTCCGGGGAACTTTCTGGTGAATGTGATGTGTGAGTATAGAAAGTACCGTCCTGCTGATGGAATGATGAGGCGATGATTGAGGTAGCGAATTCTGGATAGGTAGGCGGTTCCGTATTTGTCCTGGTCGATCCATGACAGCCTGCCTTCTGAAATTATAGACAGTATTTTGTAGAAACAGGTTTTTAAGATTCGAATGCATTTTTGAGAACGTAACTATGTGAGTGTAAATGGTGCGTCCGCTTGAAGTATGAGTGAGTGATTAAATTTGGTTTGACGAATATTTGAAGAGAATTCCCTTATTATATATCACGGCGTGTCAGGTTCTTCTGTTGTGAAAACCCAAAGTGGTTCAAGTCTTGAAGATTTGCAACTCCCTAAAAGGGTACAATGTGTGAAGTCCGTCGTAATATTGCAGGAATATTGCTGACTTGAAAGCGGCGAAAAACTCAACTCATTCACTCATTACAAACCAAGAGGAATAATCACAGCAAAACGGAAACCGGACCCATGAACATAGGTTGTTGGTGTTCAAAGATATTCGGTTCACATACTGACACTACTAAACGCTTGCATAATCCACATTGGAATTACTCTTGTGCACGTGACAGCCTCTATGCAGATGAGTACGTTTCCCCTTATTATTGGTCTTTAAATCAAAATGTACTTGCCCTCCACGACAGATTATCGTCACCAAAACCTACATGTGTCGTCACAAGGTTGCAGATAAATATGGGCAACATAACTACTCATCTCGTGGTCTGACAAAGTTGATATGTTCCCGAGTGGAGCAGTGTTATTTGACAACATTAACAAACTATTCTATTTATTATATTTTGATCGTTGTTTATAAATGATCGAGACATCGAGTAAGTCTGCATTTTATTACACATTTTAATTTTATTTTATTATTTTTAGTTCCAGGCAAAAGTTATATTCTACTCAGTGAAATAACATGTTATTCTACTAAGTGGAAATACCATTTTTATTTTCACCAATATTTACAGTATTTCACCCTTAAGAATATAATAAACCGCAATATTACGCTTGTTAAATAAGATATGAGAATCTAACGACTTAGGGCTTCATCCCGAGGACTGAACAATGGCTGAACTATGGAACCGCAGCACGACAATTCCTGGTAATATAATATAGTAAAAAACTGTTGAGGGGACCTAATTAAATATTTCGAGTTATCAAAAATTCGACACAACCGCACAATTTTGAATATTTTAGGAATACGCAGCGACCTAGCTTATATTTCGAGACTACCGTGGGTTGGACACGTCAAAATTCGACAGAACAGAGTTTGACTGTACAATGAAAGGTCAACACTAGAATACATATAATCTGGTTTGCTGCCGAAACAGATTCTATAGGAGGTAAAAGGAAAATAGTGATGACAATGCACAACGGAAAATCTGTGATGACATCAGGTCAGCATATCCTGCTCTAGTGGTAGCACCCGCAACTCTATAAATATACTCTAACGTTACGCCAATGTTGAGGTAGTCTCCGATTTGTAAACGTTTGACATGAGACAGCTGAAGTATTATATTCTCACAAAAGACGGAACTTCACCAGAGATCTTTTACATAAGCTTCTTCAAGTGCAGTTTGGGAAGGTAAGAGGAGGTCGAGTTATCAGAGCATGCACACACAAGCTTCAGCTGAGCACTGTCACTTTTCGAATGAATGAAATAGGGTTTTGTAAACTTAGACGGCTGTAGATCTTTTATGTCTCATTCGTAATGGTCACACACGTTATTGTGTAACTGAACGAATGTTTAAACAGACAGAAGTGATCACGTTCTACATCATGGTCGACGACCTGAACTCCACATCTGTTTGCGGGTCGCGTCACGGGTGAGACAATGCTAGTGATAGAGGAAAGGAGCCGGACATGCGTGTAAAAACGTTTCAGAGGTTGTGTGTTTGTAGAGGTAGGGAGACCTAAGTACATGTATATCCGTCTGTAAGAAAAGGCTTTTGAGTGCACGTCAGTACAAGCAGGGGTCCGTTTCGCAAAGCGATCGTAGCGCTACGACTGTCATAAGTCTGTGCGCAGTACGATCTTTTAGCGCTGCTATCGATTTGTGAAATGGGACCCAGGTTGATAACACATGCTTATGATATCGTCGGAAACGTCCTAATGAGATTTAGTACGATTATGTGAATGCTTTCGACGCTTTTACGGGTGAAATAATAACCGCCAAGCGAGTGGTTCGCTGTGATAACCACCTCGAGGGAACCGAGAGGAGGTTATCGAAGAGAATCACGAGCTTAAAGTTGTTATTTCGCATATACCACAAAAGCAAAAACATTATTATTCCAGTTGAATTATTATTAACTGCAATGTGCAGATATTATAATAAAAAAATATAAAATTGAATGTTTCTGAATTTATTTATTGAAGATATTTCCAATAAAAACATTGAGGTAGAGGCATCGGATTGTCAACCCTGATCTTCCAAGGGAAAAGTTCTTCTCGAGGTGTGATGCCGGGGAAGAAGGTGAGGCGAAGCCTTGTTCCCGGTATCGCACCGAGAGTTGGTCAGATAACCGCCCAAGGGGGTTATTTGGTAACCGACCTCTGGGGAAGGTTGGTATCTGATAACCAACCCCTTGAGTGGTGTTTCACAAACAATAAAACCCAGATATTGACCCGATAATCAACCCACGTGGTATATATGTAAAGACCCGTCTTATTCCTGCTTGTAGACAGACACGTAGACATGCTTACGTAGACTGACTGACTGAGTTTAGTTTTACACCGCTTTTAGCAATATTCCAGCAACATCACGGCGGGGGACACCTGAAATGGGCTTCACACATTGTACCCATGTTGGGATTCGAACCCGGGTCTTCGGCGTGACGAGCCAACGCTTTAACCACTAGGCTACCCCACCGCCCCTGCTTACGTAGACATGCTCGTTACCGTTTATCTTCCGTCGCAAGTACGACGTAAAACCCAATTTCACCTCACTTATCTTCCGTCGCGTCCGTGTGTTCCTGTATGTCGTTAGAGAGATAGGTACGTTCTCTTATTAAAGTCCTGATGCGTGGACGGAAGAGTTAGACGTGTACACCTATACATGCATGGCAGGGACCTGTGTGTGAACGGAGAGTTAGACGTGTTCACGCATGCCAGTGAACATGTATATGGACGGAGGGTTCTACATGTTCACGTGTTCACACATGCCAGTGAACATGTCTATGGGCGGAGGGTTAGACATGTTCACGTGTTCATTGCGAAATGAGATGTGAATACACAATTAAACGATACTGGCACAAGGACTTGGCATACAGACAGCGGGAAGACAGTGTCCATCACAAGGTTCATGATTGCTCAAATGTTTGAAGAAAGGAGAATCACGTGATTTGGTTTAACGCCGCACTCAGCAATATTCCAGTTATATGGCGGCCGTCTGTAAATAATCGAGTCTGGACCAGACAATCCAGTGATCAACAGCATGAACGTCGATCTACGCAAATGAGATAGATGGCATGTGTCAACCGAGCCAGCGAACCTGGCCACCCGATCCCGTTAGTCGCATCTTACGACAAGCATGGGTTACTGAAGACCAACTCTAACCCGGATCTTCACGGTAGCACCACGTGAAGTGTCATACTTACTAAGTAAACTGTTTGGGTCCAAGTACAGGTGAGCTCCAGTAACATTCTCTCGTAACTTCATTAAGGATGATGGAATAGGCTGACCGGAATATGCTGGAAAGAAAACAGTATTTAAAATTGTAAGGTTGATATAAACTGAAGAGGACATTTTTGTGGTGCCATCAAACACAGGTACTGTTGATAATTGACCAGCATGGTAACTCTATGGTCGATCAAACCTCACAACAACAAAACGATAGAGCTCTTTCTGTTACTATTAGGAATCTTGCAAGACCAGACATCATGGTCTCTCTTAAAACGTATTTCTAGTGTACACGATTCCGGTCATATCATGAGTTATTTTCAAATACTGAAGGTATCAGGTGCAATCGTTTAAGAAACCATTTCACGTTATAATGCAGCATTATGATATACAAACGCTGGAAATTAACCAGTTCTTTAAAATGAATATAAGGGTGAAAGAAATATGAACAGTATGATATATAGTCACGTATTAAGTCAGCATACCATTGTCTTCACTCCAAGCTTGTTGGTCAGCTATTATCTGAAAGATGAAGAAAGAGGTCTACAGCAACAAAACTCAGTGCAGGGATATATCGAGATTGTTTAAGGTGCAACAGTTCAGTGGTAGAGTTGTGTCGCCTGAGCAGGTATGTTCCGTTGATAGTGACTTCATATCTAATATTCACCCCAATCAATGGTCTATATATAATACTGCTACCTCATTATGGTGAGACAAGGTTATTGTACTGACTGACTGAGTATGGTTTTACGGCGTGACGAGCGAACGCTTTAACCACTAGGCTACCCCCACCGCCCCAGGGTATTGTAACAAACATAATTATCAAAGTGGGCTGTAAAATCAAATTGCCTCCTAATTTAACGAATCAATATTTGCACATGATCTTAGTTCGATCAGGTGGATAATATATACTCAAAATAAATTTAAAATATTGATACACCCCACCCCACTCACCACATTCAGGTCATATATTCAATCCAAAAATGTATTGATATTATACCATCAGAATATGATCTGACAAATGGCGACATGGCTAATTGTTCAACAAAATTGATCGAAGTCTGTGTGTAGTGTCTGTGTGAGATATCACATCCTGGAGACTATTAATTCCCACGAACTGAAGGAAATACCAAAGACGGTTGTGTATTGTTAGACAGGGGGACCCCACGCATGAAATGCCATTATATGTCCGTGTGTAGAGCCTTAAGCGTCAGATCGTATAGCAGCTCCAGGTCAAAACATTGATTACACAACAGTCTCTTTTCCTGTTGACTGGGTTCCTTCCTATTGCGCAACTGAGTACAATAACCAATCCAGAATTTTGAGACCAATTCATTTAACTGGATACATAAATAATCAGTATTATTTGATATAACATCTAAGCACTTGTATATTGCAACACTACGCTCCTTCTAATCCTTGCAAACACGTCGTGCTGCGTGCTCTGTCGTACAGCGAGCACTGACAAACAGAAACCTGGAAATCGTGGAAATCTCAAAACGAGGTTCTGCCGCTAGAAACGTTTGGCGGTCTGGTACGGACTTGATAAAATATCAATCACATTGTGCGTTACAAAAAACACATAACAGGTGTAACCAGTGAGCCAGATGCATTGTGAATCATTTTACGACCTCATCAAACAGGGCAGTCAGGGCGTCTTTAGTTCAGGTTATGCTGCCTACACCTCGCCATAAAATAAAGAAAAACGATGTTATTAAAGTTTAAAATTAAAACTCATATGTAAATACCACTTTTTTATGAAACAAGGAAGTGGAATTCAGTGTAACCATTGTGGTGTGTGATGTCTATTTTCACATTCACACGAGATAATTGGGATCGGATGAAAAGTAGGTCATTTTCTGAATAGGTTAATGAGACTGATGTTTCGGTTTGAGTGTACGACAATGTATTGAGTGACTGATTGATGGAGCTCTATGGCGATGGTGACGTCTTTTCTTCATCACGTGTAAATGTGATACTCGCGGCATGTCACCTACTTTGTGTGGTGTGGCGTCTACCTTCTAGGACGTCTATATATATTAGGGTGGTTGGGAAGCCAAAGGGTTACCGCACGTCACGCTGAGACCCGGAATCGATTCCCAACATGTGTACGATGTTTAAAGCCCATTTCTTGGGTCCCCTGGTGTGACATAGCTGGGATATGACTAAAAGCCGCGTAAAGAATAGTGAGTGACCGAATGAGTGAGTGTGGTTTTAGCAATATTCCAGCAATATCACGGCGGGGGACTCCAGAAATGTGCTTCACACATTGTACCCATGAGGGGAATCGAACCCGGATCTTCAGCGTAACGAGCGGACGCTTTAACCACTAGGCTACCCCACTGCCCTTGCTTACGTAGACATGCTCGTTACCGTTTATCTTCCGTCGCGTCGGTGTGTTTCTGTACGTTCTCTTATTAATGTCCTGATGCGTGGACGGAAGAGTTAGACGTGTACACCTATACATGCATGGCAGGGACCTGTGTGTGAACGGAGAGTTAGACGTGCTCACGCATGCCAGTGAACATGTATATGGACGGAGGAATAGAACAGCCAATAAATGCATTTGGACACGGGGATTCCCCACATCGCGGATTTACTTACAGAGAATGATGTTTTCATTTCAGCGTTGTTTAGATCGAAAACTGATATGGGTAATAAAAACCAAAACCGACTCGAGACGGTGAATGACGGATTATCTTTCCCTCGTTATATTGATTATGTCATTCCATCGCCAAGACTCGAGAATTACGTAACTGATCTGTCATTTCCCACCACTCGTTATAATCCAAATACGTAACACGGCAAGTATGTATAACGCTGTTTAGAAAAAGGTAACAGGATGCTGATGTAAACGCAAGGATATAACATGATACGACATTGATATAAATATTGTACTACTGTAACAGTTCATCGACATGATCAAAACACGACAGAAGATCAATTAAAACACCTAATTCGTCACCCAAAGACACGGAAAATGTAATTGTCTATAGAACAACACAAGAAACACACAAGAAACGTGACGTCATGCTCTGTTAGCGTAGCATAGAAAACCATGCAAGCAGTAACATTCAGACAAACGGTGTAATCGACAACATTACGTACCTGTCTAAACACTGAGGATACCATACCGTCTTTCAGACAACAAACAGTATGTTCCGGTGTCCTAACCAAGTCATAGAGAGTCTCCGATGACTGGATCCTGCGTCCGATGTGGTCACAGACAGTGCAAACTGCCCCACTGTCAATGTATTTATTGGGAGACGGAATGGTCAACACCTCGAAAACTGAATCCAATCTTCACAACGAATACAACGAGCAAAGCTAAGCTGCATGTAAGAGATGTTGCTACAGCCGTATACAAACAACGTCGCCAACGTTGTGAGCTGTCGTGTTTTGGTTTCCTGGGTAGAAAACTCTGCTCCGCGTCTGCCATACTGTGATAACGAAAATACCCAACTATGACATTCGGGTAGTTAAAGCGTGTGTACTCGATCTATGTACCCGACTCGTGCTTTGATATCATATCAGCTACTTCCTGGTTGAAGGTTGCAGTGTTATTGGCTGTTGTGAACAAAGGGTTGAGCAAATTGTGACTCGTCATTTGAACGCCTCAGTATATGTTGACAATGAACAACCGTCGCCGTACATGAAACATTAAGATCGTTCCTGGTTTAATATTACGTCATGTTATCTCTCAAATAATCTCTCATTTTTCTCAGTTAAGCGTTTGTCTGTTGCTTAACGCCTTACTCAGCAATTTTCAAGCTATATGGCGGCGGCCTGTAAATAGCCGTGTCTGGACCAGACAATCCAGTGTTTGATAACGTCAGCTTCGATCTACTCAGTATACGATTACGTGTAAACCAAGTCAGCGTGGCTGATCACCCGATCCCGTTAGTCGCAATGCTTGGTGCAAGGGGCAGGGTAACCAAGGTGATCAGACACTGTGAATATAGAGTTAGTCATAACATCAACCCCTGTTCCACATTATTTACAGATCGCCTGATATAGCTAGAATATTATTATTTGCGGCGTAAAACAAAAACTCTATACTGTACGAGAACACAAGTCAACTGACGGCACTGTCCACACAAATATCACATCAAATACTGAAGGTACATAAACTGACATACAAATGATAGCACACAGTTGGTGTTTTGGGATCATTTTACAAAATCCACCAACCGTCGTAAATTCCCATCCCATTTGCAGTATGTATACAGTATGTACACCTTGTGAGTCACAATCAAAAGACTTTTTCAAAATATTCACTTTTGTGGGGAAAATACTCCCAACACCACGTATGTAATTCTTGTGTATGTCAGTGTATATTAGGTCTAGCGTAACGGGTATATTGACCACTCAAGGCTCAACGTGAGCACATTGCGTCACTTTTTCAACACGGATCCGCCAGATCTTTATTTTTTATAGAATGTTTTGAACACCATGAAGTAGGAACGGGGCGATATCCGGAGACCACGTTATCGTGTCGGTTTGATTGTATGTAATAACATGGTTCAAGCAAATAAAAATTTCATGTTGAACCGGACAAATAACGAGAGTGTTTGATCAACATTTACGAGAATTCTAAAACGCGTAGGGAGATCCCCATGCTTTTTGCTGATGTGTGTATTTTACACTGACGTTATTGATTTGTTTTGGTCGCTGTTGCGAACACGAAATGTGGCGCTATGAACGACGGAGTCACGTGTGCTTCTCGCCAACACAGAGTGAGTGAGTGAGTGAAATTGGGTGCAGTTAGTGTTTCAATCTGTTGACAGTGTGTTCACCTAATGTCCAAAGAGACGCGACACGATGTTCTTAACTAACGGATATGTTGCCATTGATCTCGATTATTGTAGCCAAATGCTGCAACACTACCGTTCCCGAATCAGCCCCTACACTCATACCTCTGACAGTCGATATTACGATATTAAGATTTTACGATATTACAATTTTACGATTTTACGATTTTACGATATTACGATATTAAGATTTTACGATATTACGATTTTACAATATTAAGATATTAAGATATTACAATATTACGATATTAAGATTTTACGATATTAAGATTTTACGATATTACGATATTACGAGCATATCAAATCCCTATCAAACACTGGGGATACTCGATCAGCCTGTCAAAGAGGTTACGTCAAGTCAAAGAGGCTACGTCAAGTCAAAGAGGCTACGTCAAGTCAACGAGGTTACGTAAAGTCAAATAGTTTTCTAGCTCAAAAGGCCTCCGGTCCATATACAAGAGAACGCCATATCACACTGTTACACACAGGAGGATACATGTTCTTTAAACAGTCTTTACGCAGAGATCCACGTTTGATAATACAGGTTGTGTCATCAATACTTTGTGACTATATATATTAGCTAAGTGTTCATTTGACTTAGTGCCATATCTTGGGAGTCCTAATACCTATACTGTTCTAGGCAGCTACAGGGTCTAAAAGGCACAACTGAAGTTATTATCATGTAAATGAGTTACTGAAAAACATGACACCAGCTGTTCGACAAAAGACTAAACATGTTGTACCCTTCAGGTAGCGAATACCGCTCACATTATTTGAACAAACCGTTTTGTTGCCTGATTCCGCAACACTCCTGTACTGCTATGGCAACAGGTAAACAATCGAGACATTTCCTCAATGCAAATTATAATTTATTATACTTTAACATGTCAGCAACACATTTACAATCGCAACGACCTGATTCTACTAAGAGAATGACAAATACATATATAACTTGAAATTAAAGTGTCCGGAGCATGAAGGTCCGTCACATTTAGAAGCCCTCAAACTAGAACTGTGACATAATGGTGGGTAGCTGTGGAGATGAATATCGTGATATAGTTTCAAAACTTTGGTTGTTACAACATGTACCTATTGTATCATGGTGGCCAGTCATTCACAATCGCAAAAGAGTCGCTGGAAAGAACGAGTTTTCCTATAACGGCACTTTGAACAGTATTCTTGCCGATCAATTTTCATAATATGAAACGTCAGCCGTGGAAAACTATCATAACCAGGTTCTGTTTGGAGTGGCACAATAGTGGTGAAAATTCCGTGAAGGGATCACTGAAAATCAGGGTCTTCCTGACAAGGGTACATGATCGACTCAAAAGGGGTAAAGGCATGTGAAGGGTCATCACCGAGGCCAATAGTGGTTTTAGATACACGATCGGCACATCCGTGACAGCTGATCAAAGGAGCCCGTAATAGTAAGTAGTGGAACCACTACTGCACAACTAAGGGTATCTCTGTGCGCTGCTTGGTATCATGAGTCTAAGATTATCTCACAGTACAACATAGCCGGCAAGCACAGTGTCCTTGTGGAATTCCCGTATTTATACTTTGGTCACGTGTCGAGTAAAGTCATCTACTCCGTGAACATCGCTCACTGACGTCCTTTTACCTTTGGAATGACACGTCCCGTTCATTAAATATGAAATGTGGGAGCTATCCTTATAAGTTGTGTAACTGGACACAGTTAAGACTGACTGACTGACTGAGGTTGGTTACGCCTCTTTTAGCAAAATTCCAGCAACATCAGGGCGGGGGACACCAGAAATGGGCTTCACACATTGTGCCCATGTGAGGATTCGAACCCGGGTCTTCGGCGTGACGAGCCAACGCTTTAACCATTAGGCTACCCCACCGCCCACACAGTTAAGAACTGATATCACAACATGAGGATTCCGAAATAATTAGCAAGAGGGAATTTGTATATCAAGGAAGAGTTTGATAAGTTAACAAATAGTTCATCATTCTTTTTCAATTTCAAATTTGCCGCCAAGAAACTGTTGGTGAACTGCTCATCTTTGTCCTTCAGTGTAGTCTTGCCCATGAGGAGGAGGTGGTTGTCTGTGTCCATCCGGTCAGGGTTGTACTTCTGGACACTGTGGATGATGTTGGGGTCGTCGTTTGTATCGGCGTCGCTTCGTATTGTCAGGAAGGAGTAGATGTAGTACATGCCGTCACGGGGCACGTGTAGGCGCCCGTTGCTATAGGTAACGTCCCCTGACATATGTGCCGCACCATACCCAGAGGAAGAGTCCCACTGAAGATGTTGATCTGATGGGAAGAAAATAGACTAATATTCCGGTCACGTTGAGTCAGATGGATGAGTGGTTGTGGCTGGATTAATGGATGAGCGAATGGGTGAGTGGATTACTGAGTTATTGGGAGGAAAAGTGGGGGGATTAGTAAGTGGGTGAGTTGATGTGTGAGTGGGTGTGTAATTGAGTTGGTGGGTAAATCGGTGGGTGACTGGATTAGTGACTCGGTTGGTGAGTGGCCGAATCAGTGAGCTGGTGGACGGGTAAGTGATTGGGTGAGTCGGTGGGTGGATGAGTGGTTGAGTCAGTGGATGGCTGAGTTAGTGATTTGGTGGGTTGGGAGAGTGAGCAAGTGGATCAATAGGTGAGAAGAAGGTGAAAGTTGATGAGTCAGTGGGTGCGTGGATTTAAGGGTGAGTTTTGATCGAGTGGATCGATAAGTGGGTGTGTACACAACCATGACTATGTAGTATAATACAGTGAAACTGACTGCGACTATGGGACTATGGGACATTCTTGATATTTGAACATGTGGTCTCACCAGAGGCAAGTGAGTTTGTTCACACTTGCCTCCGTTCACCCAGTAGAAGATGGGTACCCGGTGGGAGAAGCTATGTGACTATTTACCTTCTAGCGCCTCACGAGAAGTTCGGGTTATCCTGGTAATACTCTGATTGTGTGCTAGCGCTTTGAGCGTGGTCCTTGTGCGTGGAGAAGGCTCATTATACATTCACTATTGTGATTATTATTACTCTACTTCCTGGTAACGATACTGAGATCATGTGTCAGTTCAAAGAAATCCCTGTGTGGTGTATAGGGAGGTCCTTAACAACCCCATGTGTCCTAGTGTGCTGCGACTTCCTGGTACAGGTGAACAGGACCTCTGATAGAGATCACGGGGTGCTATTTGTATAGACCTTATCAACAAACGTACACTGTGCGTATACGAGACATGTCATGAGAAATGGATGGTCACAAAGCAGGGGACTTAAACAAAACCTGATCCGCAAGGTATTTAAAAGCATGACGCTTGCACACTATGCTGTACATTACGATGTAGACGACAGTTGCTTCATTGTATACCACAGCGTGTACACATTTAACAACAATTTTTTTTTTAAAAGCAACCATTAACAAGATGGTGAGATGATCCTATGATAACATTAAGTTGTGGTCTTCAGTCGGACACTAAAAGGACCTTTTCGAACAGTAACCACTTTGCTGATATAATATACACTACATGTTCAATAAAGTATTAGTGAATAAGTGTGATTGAGTGATTGAGTGAGTTTGAGTGAGGGAGTGAGTGAGTGAGTGGGTGAGTGGGTGAGCGAGTAAGCTATGCACAGTGTTGTCACATCAAACAAATCAGAGGTAGCAATTTAATCTGTGTCAATGTTAGTGAGTGAGTTTAGATTTACACCGCAATCAGCAATATTCCAGCTATATGGCGGCGGTCTGTAAATAATCGAATCTGGACCAGACAATCCAGTGCTCTACAGCATGAGCATCGATCTGCGCAATTGGGAACCGATGACATGTGTTAACCAAGTCAGCGAGCCTGATCACCCGATCCCGTTAGTCGCCTCTTACGACAATCATGAGTTACTGAAGGTTCATTCTAATCCGGACCTTCACTTATTTGATTAAACAAAGCACACAAACCTGTGACGCTGTTTGTGTCAAGATACTGATGTGCCGCTGGTCTACCCTTGTTGATCTGAAGGCCACCATTTACGTAATGGTAATATTCTCCGACTACCTAGATATACAATACACATGTTTTATCATTATTTGGTCACACTATGTTTCATAAATTTAATGATAAATGAATAAAGTATCATGAAAAAAGCAAATATTATCCCTGACCTTGAAAACAATGCAATTACAGCAATGTGTGTGACAGATTTCAGTATTTATTTCGTCAGATAGGATTTAACAAACACAAACAAACATAAACACTTACAATATTCATATACATCGCGAGACCCATTGTATTCTCCAAACAGCACAGTGACCTTTGACCCAGACTTATGACCTTGACCTGATTCTCCAACGGCGCCCTTTCCAGGTGAGGAGCATGTAGAGAGTCACATGGCACACATACAGAGTCAGCAATATCCGGTCGCTTTTCCACGCCAGAACCAAGCGATACACCAGATTCCTCGTGTCTCATCTTGTAGATAACAAACGCTCCCAAACCTACATTTAACGTCATCGACAAAATCAGCACTGCTAAACACGCCAAAGATGAACACAGATATAGGGATTTCTGTGGGCCTTTTTGCGCTATAAAACTGACTTCTTCATAATGTGTTTGAGGAGTAACTCCCATGTTGTGGGTCTGTGCAAGCAACTCGCGAGCTATAATCCTGTATGGGTGTAAGACACAGCTAAGGTTGACAGTGAACCGCTAGGCGACCTAGTGCGACGCCAAATACTTCCTGGTCTATTAACAATACCAGCGGAGGTAAGGACAGACAGGCGTGCGTGGCTCCTATCTTCATAAAATGCCTATAGGTCCAGATTGGTTTGGTCGCAACAACAACAATAGTCTCACAGTCCCTGAACCACATTATTTTCCCTACTGCAAACCCTTCCTGCAGTGCTAAAGCCCTAAATAAAGAAAGTCTAGATTTTCCCTGAATCTCCCATCTTGCTGTGGCTCCTTTTCAATTTCAATCGGTTTACTTGTTACTATCAAAATCATCTATATTCAGGGACTAAGCGTTAGTCTACAACAACAGCAGCAGCAGCAGCAGCAGAAGTGCTACCTCTAATTAATTAAGATAATATGCACTTTCTCTCTATCAATCACCCTAAATTAATTTTTACATATTTATTTTTAAAGTTTGTTACAAGTGGGACAATCAGCTGTGCTTGGCGGAACCTGAGGTAGGCGGCACCTGAGGTAAGGGAGGTAACTCTAAGAGCACGTTAGTGTTTGTTCATTTTTTTTTTTAAAAGGCGTTTACGTCCCTGTGACTGAATTAAGTTGACAGCTCCAGTCTAGGTGAACTGTTTGACCAAGGGGATTCATTACGCCTACTAATTTTGAAGATGATTAATGACATGGGTGAGTGAGTGAGTTTTACACCGCTTTCAGCAATGATCCAGCAACATCACGGCGGTGGACACCAGAAATGGGCTTCACACATTGTATCCATGTGGGGAATCGAACCCGGGTCATCGGCATGACGAGCGGTTTAATTAACCACTAGGCTATCCTGACGCCCCGATTAATGAATGAACGATTATGATGATGATAACGGCGATACTAACAACAGCTATAACAGTAAGATGTCTTAGCAATAACGATACTATTCTCCAACTACTACTGCTACTACTACTACAACTACTACAACTACTAAAACCAATTTACAGAAGGACTAACCACATATACGCGTGTTACAGTGAAGAGGAGCCCTAACAGAAATGCAAGCGTGCACCCTGTCAAATCCACCTTCTATCAACAAATCTGGTTGTTTATTTTTGCTTGGTTCTTCTATCTCTCTATCTCAACTCAGTATTATGAAAAGTGGGAAACATTTTTCTTTGCATCAAATGAATGAAGGAATATTCATGGTGGTGGGCGAGCTGTCTCCAGCTAGTGATCCAGCGAGTTTGAGGTGCCGGGATCGAGTCCATCTGTGAACAGGTGTAAAAACCTTGGAGTCAACTTTGTGTGCAGATTCTTTCAGTGTTGTCACAACCCCTAGTGTACAGTACACTTAAAAGTGCACTTAAAAGAACGCACGAATCCGTGGCTAAATGACCAGATAGTGGGCACATGAATACGTGCACACACCAAGTTGCAGGTACAGGAACGTGCAGTAAAACTTTGACAAAGTACAGTGACTATGTGTCTCAGTCCACCCAGCTGGGAAAGCCACATTAACTCGGTGCGCCTAGTGGCTGCAAGAGTTGGAAGCTCCCGAATGGGAGTTGAGATTGGTAATATGTTGTGCCGCTGAGATTGACATCCAATGATCGAGGGAAAAACAAAGAAGCGTTTTGAGCATGTATGCGGGATGGACTATAGCGATATATAAATACTCATATAATAATATCAGTGCTTAGTTTTACGCTGTACACAGCAATCAGTCAGGTGTATCACGACATCTAGAAACTACGTCACGACATCTGGAAACTGTGTCACGACATCTGGAAATTGTGTCATGACATCTGGAAACTGTGTCACGACATCTCAAAACTGTGTCACAACATCTGGAAACTATGTCACGACATCTGGAGACACTATCACGACATCTGGAAACTGTGTCACGACATCTGGAAACTGTATCACGACATCTGGAGACACTATCACGACATCTGGAAACTGTGTCACGACATCTGGAAACTGTATCACGACATCTGGAGACACTATCACGACATCTGGAAACTGTGTCACGACATCTGGAGACACTTTCTCGACATCTGGAAACGGTATCACGACATCTGGAGACACTATCACGACATCTGGAAACGGTATCACGACATCTGGAGACACTATCACGACATCTGGAAACGGTATCACGACATCTGGAGACACTATCACGACATCTGGAAACTGTGTCATGACATCTGGAGACACTATCACGACATCTGGAAACTGTGTCACGACATCTGGAGACACTATCACGACATCTGGAAACTGTGTCACGACATCCGGAAGCTGTGTCCCGCAGCCCAGTCTAAGTGTTGCACTCCACTCACCTTTCAATTAGTTGCATCACGTGAACAGTGTCACCCCGCACTTGGCTGTCTATCAGCTGTGTGACGTCACCTGTCAACAGTGTTACGCTGTACTCAGCCTCTTATCAGCTGTATCATGACAACTCTAATATGCAGGGATGCGTATTGGCAAAAAGATTGTATTGCAATGTACTGCAATTCCGGAACTGTATTACGATATGTATTGCGATCTACTGGGAGTGAAAATATTTGACAGTGAGTGGCATTGATTGTACATGCATATGTTATGAATGTGACGGTTGTGATCAAGGGCAATCAACGTAGGTAGGATAGTTAGGGAATCCATGTATTTATTCAATTTATAGTATGTAAAATATGCAATTATGTCAATAAATTACGAACGGAAACATCGGATGTAAGTCAGAGTACGCAGTACTTGAAGTAATGGGTCACGATTCAAGTATGGAGCGTGATTTAATCCGTTTTCTCTGCAGTCTAACTCCAGCCCTCAAAATATTCAAGCCTTGTTGTGCCGATCTGGTCGAGTCTAAACCAGACAATCAAAGGATTGATCTCATGAGCACCGGTGTTCCCCACTGGGATTGGATGACAGGATGTAACCATGTCAGCGACCCTGAACATCCGATCCCGTTAGTCGTATTTACCTTGAACGAACATGGGTCTCGGAAGACCAATTCCATCTGTGATCTTCGTAAGGGCCAGGGTACACGCAGTAAGGTTAAGATGACAATCTGCACGCCCTTCATTGTGACAACCCAATCCTCAGTCAGCAATGATCACTGGAGCTAACCGGAGCCCGTGTACCCCCAAGAAGTTGAAAATTCAAAAACGACGCTAGAGAGTAAGACGACTTTAGTCATATTCCATGTGGTGTAACGAACAAAATATCTGGTAAAATCAATAATTTTATCAATGGAGTCGTGAAAATCATCTATGACAAGTGTCCTGGAACAGGGTCAGCATGACCTGTCCTAGCTGCTGAATTAACATCAAATTAAAGTGATTGTTTGTAATTATAACACCGATGCAACAACACTATCCTATTTCTTCTAGAGAACACTTCCCCTTAACATCGATCAAACAATACCACCAGGGAGAAGGATCAAACGTTTTCATCTTGACAATTCCAGGGCTCCAAACATTTTGCAAATTTGAATTCAATTACTTAAACTGAATGGTTCCAGTGCCATCTTGCTTGTTATCGAATAACTGTCATTCCTGTTTGAGTGCAAATAGAAACTCGAAGATATCTTTTAAAATGAATTGTTCTTGACATATGTCTCCATTATGGTTAAGATTTTGTTGCCAATACCGTTAGAGACGGTTACTTGTCATTTCCATTTCTCACTGGATGCTTAGTGGTCAAAGGTTTGCTAACAAACATGCATCGTAAACTGTGCTTCGAAAAGCACTTTGTAACAGTTTTTATTTCAACAAATTTCTCCACGGTTACAATCCGTTCAAGCCTTGTAATCCATGCCCATATCTCTTTCTGCTTGCGCCTCATCTCATCCATCAAAGCTCTGATAGTTGCATCCAACACAAAGATGATGCCTGGGAAAGCATTATGTCTCAAGATTTCTAATATCATCTCTCATAACTTTCTGCGAGGCAATTACAACATGTTGACACAGTTTTCTCGTGTAAGTCGGCGGCCTGAAAATAATCGAGTCTGGACCAGACTATCCAGTGATTGACATCATTAGCATTGATCCACGCAGTCGGGATACGAGGACATCAGAGAGGTCATCGAGTCTGACCACCCGTTACTGTCACGCCAGCACTGGTTCCTGGAGACCGTTCTACCCTGGATCTTCCCGGCTGAACCTATTTTCAGGAAATACGTATGCCCGAGCTATACAAATCTAACGTCAACTTGATGTGTATGCGCAACAGCCTAGTGGTAAAAGCTATTGCTGATCACACAAAACCCGGATTCGAATCTCCCTAATCAAATGGACAAGTTGGTTTGACATTTACGTGATATAAGAACACAAAATACCGTTAGGTCACCGATGGGACAGGATTCGATGACCTTTCCGATAGCACCTAGTTCATTCTCCAGTTAATAGTGACTCCACGCAGGCTTATATTGTCACAATCGTTCAACTGGCTGTACCTTTCGCAGATTTTAGTATGGATGTGTTTTTTTGGCTATTACGTACCAGAAGTTGCCGAATGTTAAAACCGTTAAAAATGTTCATATCATCAACAGATATGCTTTTGACATCTTTAAAATTAATTATCTTTAATAAATGTAAATAAATTTAAGGGACGAGGTGTTCAGGCTGACATGGTTGATGCATGTCATCGTATTTTGAGTTAGATGATCATGACTGCTCTGTCTCTCAGACTCTCAATTATTCAAATGTATGTAACTAGTCATATAACTGGAATATTGCTGAGAGCGGGATTAAACACCACCTCCCTGTTAGAACTTGTCTTCAGCACCCCATGCCTGTCGTAAGATCCGACAGACCGCCTCCGTGGTGTAGTGGCTAGAGCGTCCGCCCGGAGAGCGGAAAGTCGTGGGTTTGGGAGGCCAGGCTCGCTGACTTGGCTGACACATGACGTCGTCACCCAACTATGTAGGTTGATGCTCATGATGTTGATCACTGGATTGTCTGGTCCAAAATCAAGATTTACAGATCGCTTCCATATGGCTGGACTATTGCTGAGTGCGGCTTTCAATCAAGAAACAAACGAGCAGTATAGCAA